AAAATGGGAATCAGTCTACCACAAGATCCAGCAATTCCATTCCTAGGCATATACCCAAAAGAAGCACATTCATACAACAAGGACATCTGTTCAACTATGTTCATAGCGGCACTATTTGTAATAGCCAGAAACTGGAAGCAGCCTAGATGCCCCTCAATTGAAGAATGGATGGAGAAAATGTGGTACATTTACACAATGGAGTACTACTCAGCAGAAAAAGAAAAACAATGGAATCTTGAAATTTGCAGGAAAATGGATGGAATTAGAAGACACCATTCTGAGCGAGGTATCCCAATCACAAAAAAACAAACATGATATGTACTCACTCATATGTGGATTTTAGACATAGAGTAAGGGATTACCATCCTACAATCCACACTGCCAGAGAAACTAGTAAACAAGGAAGACCTAAAAGAGACAAACTTTGTCCCCTGGAGAAGGGGAAAAGGTCACCATTCCTTGAGCAAATTGAGAACATGGGAAGAGGTGAGAGGGAGCTACGAGAATGAGAAGGGAAGAAAAGGAAGGATGCAGAGGTCATGAGGAAGCAGAAAGTTTGAGTCAGGTGTAGATTAAAAGAAAGGACATATGATAGGTAGGATTTTAGTTGGATGGGTGGTAGGGGAGGAAGGGAGGGAAAAGGGAACTAGGATTGTCATGTAATTCAATCTTGTTTGTAATTTAAATTATATAAAAAATAAAAAATAAAAAAAATAGATGGAGAAGGTCACTTTATAGTCATCAAAGGAAAAATTCACTAACATGATCTCTCCATTCTTAACATTTATGCCCCAAATGCAAAGACACCCACATTTGTAAAAGAAACATTGCTAAAGCTGAAATCACACATCAACCCACACATCTTTATAGTGGGAGACTTAAACACCTCACTCTCACCAACAGACAGTTTACCCAGACAAAAACTAATCAGAGAATAATGGATCTAACAGATATTATGACTCAAGTCAACCTAACAGATATCTCCAGAACATTTCACCCAAACACAAAAAGAATATACCTTCTTCACAGCACATTCCAAATTAACAAAATCAGAAAAGAAAATAAGAACATAACAACAGACAACAAGGAAATCTAAAGAATCATTAGGTCATACTTCAAAAACCTGTAAATTGGAAAATCTGAAAGAAATGGACAAATTTCTCAATAGATAGCACTTACCAATGTTAAATCAAGATCAAATAAACAATTTACATAGACCAATGACCCCAATGACCTCTAAGGAAATAGAAGCAATCATTAAAAGCTCCCAACCAAAAAAAAAAAAAGAAAATTTTAGTGCAGAATTCTAACAGACTTTTGAAGAAGAGCTAATGCCAATACTCTCCAAATTATTCCACAGAATAGAAAAGAACACTGACAACTTTTTATGAAGCCAGAGTCACCCTGATACCCAAACCACACAAAGAATCAGCAAAGAAAGAGAATTACAGACCAACTTCCCTTATGAACATTGATGCAAAAATACTCAATAAAATACTTGCAAACAAACTCCAAGAACACATCAACCACCATGATCAAGTAGGCTTTATCCCAAAGACGCAGGGATAGTTCAACCTATGAAAATCTGTCAATGTAATCTACCATATAAATAAACTGAAAGAAAGAAACACACAATCATCTCATTATATGCTAAAAAAGCCTTTGACAAAATCCAACGCCCCTTCATGATAAAAGTCTTAGAAAGAACAGAGATAAAGACAATTTACAGGAAGCCAATTAAATGGAGAGAAACTTAAAGCAATTCCACTAAAATCAGAAATAAGACAAAGCTGTCCACTGTGGTGATATATTATCATATATCTTTCTCCATATCTATTCAATATA